TTGGAACGAGTAAATATGGTCGTTTTTAAAATCAGGTAAATTTCCTAAATTCCAATTAGCTTAGCGATAGTTTCAATGTGATGTAGAATTTAAGAAAATGTGCCCAATGTATTTCGGGGATACTAGAGAAGTATTACCTAAAATAAATTAAAACTTTATATAAAACATGTTGATTTTTAAGTTATTGGCTTTATCCTTTCACAATTTATTAATGCATCAGATCGCAAAATTATTTTTTTGCACTTACGAACGCGTCCTTCGCAAGTTCCGTCAATGCTACCATTTTCTTGTAACTTTATATGTCAAAGGTACTTACAAGTTTGCGACTTTTGCACGGAAAGATTTGCATTCTAAAGAGATGCACATTAAGATTATTTACAAAGCAAAATCCATACATGGATCGGAGATGAATTCGCACATTAACGACATCATTAGTCAATTTCAAAGTGTCAATTCTCAACTTACAAAGCACGTGCTAACTTGTGTGTCATTGTTTACCCTGAATGAAAACGCATACATATCAAGTGAACACCTTTTATAGACTTTGTATAAGTGAGGAAGTGTCAAAAGTTGTACGGATTTTGTGCAAATTAATTTAGCATGCCGGAATAAACATTAGGAATTGACAAGTAAATTAATTTCCTGTGTAAAAATCCTTCATAAAACTTGTGATTTCTCATTCTATAAATTGACCCAACGATCTTGTGGTTCGTCGAGATTGCAGCGACTTGGGTTAGAGAAGAGCATGTATTCGCGTAATATGTGACTATTTCTGCACGATTTGAAGAACAAATGAGACGATGTTATGGCCCAACTGCCACGTCGTAAAATCAGCCATAGGCGTTGGTGGGATTGAATTTGGTGGATTTGTTTGGGACGACATAACAGTAAAAGTCGAGTCCAGCCGTCATACCAGAACCAGAACCATACGGCTATGTTTCTGTGCGGTTTGGTTTCTTGTCGCAATGCCGGTTTATGTTTCGCTCTCGTTCCTTCCTCACTATGGACGAAATCCGATTTTATGTCCAAAGAAATCCCACCGTCTCCGATAAAATGTTTCGAAATGACCAGTAGCACTAGTCCACGGAAGCGAGTCATCGTCCGTCCGAGGCATTTTTCTACTCTGGCCAAAAGAAGAAGAAGCAGCCAAACTAATAAAACTAACTCATCTTTTATTTAGGATTTAGCCTTGACTTTGTACACTCCGTGTGATGTTATTAACTTCAGAACTGATGGCAAATTTCGAGCTAGACAATAATTTATTAGGTAGCATTTGATGCTGCTGACTGCATTGTCAGATGATGCCACTCACCCTCGCATGCCCCGACCTTTGGCACGCTGCCACCAATGAGGATGAGCAGTTTATTGCAATGAATTATTGGATTATTCCCTTGCAGAAGAGGGATTTATAATTTGTTGTCTATTTTTGGACAGTCGCACCTCCATCCTATTCAATTCGGTGGAGTCAAATACATATAAATATAAATTAAAAGGGACAAATTTGGGCATATGGAATGCATCAGGCAGGGTACTTATCTACTTCGGGTAGGATATTCTTGGTGGTTGTGGTTGTGGTGAGAATTTTAATAAAATGGAACTTTACAGTTGACAACAAGAGACCATTGCGCACTGCAAAATGTTTTCTGAAACGAGTTTCCAGTTACAAACCAAAATTTTAGAATTGTTTCGTTCTGTGGTGTGGATGATCTAGAGAGACGACGACGAGACAAGAAGGTTTTCAGAGCTCCAGATTATTCTCTCATGTCTCATTCTTCCTCTTTTTAAGAGACTCTCTTCTGTGCCGTCTGTCTAGAGAGCGAACTGTGAGAAAATTGTCACAGTTCGCTCGATGAGCCGTAAACTTCTGGTCCACAAAATTCCTTTGAATCTCAGCTCAATTTGAGCGAACCAAATGTGGTTATGGTCTTAAGGTCGGGACGGGAAAGAGAAGAAGGGAAACCAGTTGACAGAGTTCTCATCATCATCGGGCGAACCTGATGTGTATGTGTTTCTGAAGATGAAACCACAATCAGGATTGCGACCATGCTGAAACAATTGAGCAAGTGAAACCAAAATACTTTTTGAGATGATGATGACGAGGAATTTGGTTAAGTCACATCACAAAATCTGGTCATTATTGCACCGGGATAATTACAAACTTTCATGTTGGTATGTACATATAGTGTTGCACAATGTTTTAATTTATTCAGGGTCCATGTCTCTCAAATTGCAAAATTGTTTGTTGTGGTGAAAAGCCACACAAATCAATAGGAGAGCTGTCACTTGCAGGTGAAGGGCGAAACCGAGTGGTCGAATTTGCTTACATACATTGTTTATGCAATACGTTTTAGATTCCATTTCATTTTGGGCTTATATAAAGAGAGGCCTTTCATAACGCGTCCTGGTAAATACGAAGCAATGCTAACAACAACGTCAACCTTGCCAAGTTAAGTAATTGATCACAGGAGATTAGGCATGTCCAAATACATTTTTTCAGACAGTTACGTAAAAAAGAATATTAAAATTAATTGAAATTGCCTTCATCGTTCCCATCACTCCTTCCAGATTTACTGGCACGATTTCCTTTACGCTCGGCACTTTAGACGTTTTCATTGGAGATATCACTGTTAGTTCGTGACCACGCGTGGCAAGCGCGTCGATTAACGGATCGAATACATTTTTATGAGATTTCATCGCAACTGGGGATAAAAATAGGATTTTTGAGGCAATTGTGCATTTAGCGAGGTATGTTAATAGTACAAAATTAAAAAGTAAAAAGTAGCAGTGGTTAAATAACTTCATTTTGAGACGGATAAAAAATACAGTCTTAATTAAGCTGGAGCAAATAATTGAGTGTGACTAAAATGCGATGGACATGAAATGACATTATATATAAGCTTGCACTTTGCCCACAACATACGACGCATGTAGTTATTGTGATCGACGAGTATCACGGGTTGTTGACTGCAGATTAACTTTAAAGGGTTCCTAACACATTATTATTGTAATAACCAGAATAATAAGGCAGGGTCCGTTTCAAGTATTTTAATATAATATCATCTGATGCATACATGCTGCGTATAATCTGCTTTATTTAACCATTCAGTAGAACGGAACCACACCAATGAATGAACAGAACAATTGAATGAACGCATTATTTAGTCTGGGAAATGTCAATAGACTATGATAAGCTATATTCACTTATATAACTTATCCACCTGTCCATCACATTTAAACGTACATTAAACGTACTTGCCAAGTTAAGTAATTGATCACAGGAGATTAGGCATGTCCAAATACATTTTTTCAGACAGTTACGTAAAAAAGAATCTTGACGAATTAAACATTTCATTAATTTTGGGTACGATATGGAGCGTCACATGTAATAAATCACAAGGCTTCAATTTTTATTTACCGTACTAAAAATTTAAATCGTTATACACAGATTTAAATGTTTCACGGATTGTTGCCCTTCTGTCGTCGTTCGTCTTATTTTTCATAAAATCCATCCCACTCAATGTATCACCTTACCGCATTTACCACTCCTCAAATTCATCTTCCAGTCGACTGGGTGGAGAACCTTTATACCTGAAATCCCATAGTGCTGGGTGAATTTGACAGAACAGAACCCGCATGCAGTACTTCATCTCATTGTTCAATTGTGTTCATAAGGATTTAGAATTTTCTAAGCAATTGATTCCCACCTCACCCAACCAACCAACCAACCAGTCTGGAGCCTCATACATATTGACGGAATATTGAATATCCATGTTCTTCAATTTTTGGGTGGGACGCACTTCGTTCGGCAGCATTTTTCTGGCAAATTGCTAACTTCAATGGAACCATGAAGGCACTTGAGCCCTGTTTTGTTTCCAGGATCACATTGGTCCCGCGACGATACGTCCTCAAAATAAGTTTCAAGATGCCATCCTCAATGGGATAAGTACTTACCACACCTTGGCCTAAGTAAGTAGCTACATATTTATAGGTACGCACACATTCAACCTTATTCCGCTTCGACTCCCTCAATTTCCATAAATTAGAAAATGGTCCTGTTGTTGCCTAACATTGCGAGAAAACTTTTAAGGGAGGGATCACATTTCTTTCTGTAGAAAAGCATGAAAAGGTGTTTTGAGCAGTTGACTCAGAGTTACAATTGCTAAATTACAATAGGGCAGGCCTTGTAGCCACAAAGGGATAAATATTGGGAAGTTCATTGTTCCCATTATCACACAGGCTGAAATGAAGCCCTTGTGATTAATTTGAACATTTCATACATAGTTTGGAGACTAACTGTCAATACGCGTAAAAAGAAGTCCTACCATGTCTTGAAGAAATTGGGAGAAATGTTCATCTTCAACCTGACTTTTAGCTAACAACTTGTTCCGACGACAGCTTGAACAAGCTGGCTGAAATTCTTATTACTTAAGTGAATTGTGTATATTTTAATGTTAAATAATTGAACACCATCTCGTACTCTTTGTTGTTCTTTGGTTAAAGTTTGTGTGTGATGTGTAAGGCATTTGCCATCAAAATTCCTCCTTGTGAAAAAAAAATCGTTTCACTTTGAATGTTCCACTCCACTTCATCTTCCTTTATGAATATAAAAAAATCATGCCTTGCCAAACACACAGAAGCCTTTTCCCTCAACAAAGGATGAGAGGAACGAGTTAAAGAATGTCATTCTATCAAAATTCTTTTGCATTCTACAAGTATAAGTAAACTGAGGCAACGCAACGTGGTGGTTGGTTCCTTTTATGCGGAAAAGATGAAAAATCTTTGGCATGGTATTTGTTTTTAAAGTTTTCGTCTCAAGTTGACGTTTCTTTATGGTATTGTTCTCAAAACGTAACAAAAAAATTCACTTGGCCATTTTGTCCTACCAAAAGGACAAAGGTTTTGCACGACAATAGGTTTTGTTTATGCTCCGCTATAAATATAAGGCAAATTTGCATTAATTGTTACCTAATCAATATGTACACGATGAACTAATTTCGGTATTCACTTAAGTAAACTGGCTTTTTATTGAGAAGTGAAAGCGCTTTCTTAATATAAAGGAGAAAGTTGAGATTCATGAACCCACAAACCTTGTCATACATACGTACGGAAATATATTAAATAACAATTTTGTGCTGAATGTACATACATCACGCGGATGTGGAAAAGTTTTGGAATAATTTTGACAAGAATAAAGTAGTGCTGGTGGAGAAATATGAGGCTTGTAATGTTCCGAGAAGGTGAGAATTTGGGTCACTCGGGTTCAAAGCTCGTCTTCATATCCGTCTGGCAATGGGTTTACTGCAGGGTTGTGGAACAATGTTTTAGTCCCGTCACCCCAGGGGTATCGCTGTGTATGTGCGGAAGGGAAAAGATAAAACTGTATTGTGTTCTCAGTCAGTTTGGCCAAGTTTTTTTTTCATGAATACGAAATTGTTTGTGGAAGGTTTTTTTCTTTAGGTTACCTTGTTTCGAATTCGCAGGTACTCGTACTTCACGAACGGTTCTCGTTCCTTGCACGCGTGATGAGCGAAATGTTCTTTCAGGACTGGAAAATTATTCAGGTTAAGATGTTGAAATTCGAATTAGTTATTTTTGTAACAACATGTTTTAATCAATTCACCTAAAAAGCTCATGAGTCCCACGCTCGGAACGATGCAGTAGAGCGAAGAAGCTTTCCAAAATGCCATACCTGCATGATTAATCAGTAGAAAATTTAGTGGGGTGATTTTTGGGATAAAAAGTATACTTACTCATCTTGACTTTGAGATTTTCTTTAACGAGTGTTCTCCCCAAATAAATAATCGGTTGACTAAAATGTCCCTTGATTGACAGCTTCGAAAGAACCTTAAAAATTTCAAAATTTTGATCGACAATCTTCTTTTGTAACACATTTGTGAAACGTTATTTGAATATTCCCGTTCCCAAGGGCACTCTCAAAATTGTAGAGCATATCGCATGTAACTTTTTCCTAGTCTAGATTCGTGGCTTATCGATCATTTTTAGAGCTTTTTAATGTACCCTTCTCCTCCTCATGTCCTCCTACCCTGCATTTTCTTGTTACTTGGACCATCCAAGTGTATAAAACCAAATAATGGGCGACTTAGAGCAGAAAATGAGGTAAGAGATGCCTCATAATCATTCCATAATAATAGCCACACACATGCAAAGTAGAGATAAGTATTCATCCCGGCTGAAGTCGGCGGAAGATGAGAAAGTCTTTTATTCCGTGGGACAAAACACGAAACATAAACCATAAACCGGGATTTGGGTTAGAAGAGGAAGACGACGATGCTTTAGTTAAAGGAGGAGGAAGAAGAAGCATTAGTAAGTTCTTAAGTATATTGCACCAATACATGTACGAAAGCATGTACAAGCCTGAGCATGAGCACCATGTCATAACATAACTCATCTTCTATCTCCCCAAATGGTTTATTAGCCCTCCCTATTATTTCCTCTAATCCAGCCAGCCACTCAAATCTTGAGCTTCGTGGGTCTTATATTCATGCAACGGGACAAATGAGCGTATTTATGCCCCACAAATTTTAAATTTCTCCATAAAACCGACCCTCACTCGCAATAATAATGACACGGCACAACACCAGTGCATTGTGTTGAATTCGTTATATGCCTATGGAATTAGCAAGAATGCTTATGCACATATATACAGCTGGCTTACTCAAGGTGCATCAGAGTATAAGGACGCGAGTACAAAGATACATATTGTTGTGTGCGTAGAGCTACTTTTGTAAAGCAGATCTCACCAACTAAACCACACCATTAACAAAGGAGAAACTGCTCTTACTTTAGGACGACCAAGACTCGATCCGCCACGTTATATGAACGTTATGCACAATAAAATAAAATAGCAAAAAATAAAAATCCTACTTTACTTAATAATGAAAACGATAATAAAAAGCATCTTCTTCCCATTCTCCGCTTCTCACTCGTTCAGTCGGGCTTTGAAACTTCAAAAGTTGAAGCTCTTAAGAATCAATGGCAAAAAATTGCTTTTCTTCTCGATGCGCTTCCTATTCTTAACGAAAGGAAGGTTCTTCTGGATGGCTGGCTGGAGCTGGAAATATATTGTTGCCATCCTCGTTAAAAAGTTGGAAGCTTCTCTTGCTTAATAAAACCATGTCACTTTATGTGATTGGTTATTGTGCAGTAAATTTGGGTGGTTGATGGCAAATGCAGTAAAATTTTGTTGCTGTGCGTATGTATGTAAACTTTAAAGGTTGTTTGTTACTCGTGGATTCGTGTTACTGTTTTAATGCTAAATTATTACAGATACATGCGAGGACAAAGTGTACACAAATAAACAACGGAACTTATCTGCATACGTCGAGGTTATGCAATAAACTTTTATGAAATCAGAGTTCAGTCTGCGGTTGAAGTTTGGAGTGGGTTTCTGAATTTGTAATAATTTTTTTTCGTAAATTTTAATTCTCAAGTTTGGTCTTGTTTGCTGTCTTGTTACGTGAAGATGATGTAGGCCAAAAACAATAAAATTGAAAGTCTAAAAGTCTACAGGCAAGAAAAACAATGCAAATCTTTTGAACACAAGAGTATTCAACTCGCTCTTAAAATATGTGAAGTTCCATGCAACAAATCATAATGAATGGGAGCTGAGCAGTAGTAAGTAGTTGGTCGTGTATGTATGTTGTTCGGTGGTTTGGTGGAATGTTAATCCTTGCGTCTTATATATTTTTTAAACTTTTACTCTTGACTTGACTTTTCTATACTCGTTGTGGACCAAGTCAAATTCAAATCTCTCTCCTCTTCGAAAAGAGCTGAATACAACTCTGTTCAGATATTTTCTATTCATTCATTGAATTGGGAATTCTGTAAGGGTTTTGATGGTGAATGCCGTTCTGCTGGAATTTATTTGACATTGCGCCTTTGTTGGGTGAAAAATTAAAATTAAAATTGCATTTCTTATGGTAAACGTTTCATTATTGCCACCAACAAACCAAACCACCCAACATTTCACAACAAGCCGAATGACAAATGGTTTCGATTGTTTGCGAAAACTAGACAGGAAAATACGTAGCTGAATCCCACGCATTTTTTAAACAACTTGTATATACAAGTTAATGAAACCCAAAGTGATTTAACCTTCCGGGCTTAAAACACACAGCCAGCACAAGTACCTTTTTCGCTATTAGGAAGAACAAATAAACTACCTGGGATTAATTATGGGCTATTATCGCATGTGCTATCTTGGCACCGACGGCGACTCTGACTCAATTTACATACCGGTTACAGGCATATCTTAACAATTGATAAGTGTAACAAAACTCTATTTGCTTGTATTGATCGCTGTACAAATAATTAGGGTTCAATGATACTTCTTGAGACAAGTAAATTATTAAATGGCGTAGATATGTACATACATATACCACATAATTTATCGCGTTCTGTGTATGTAGAGGTCTGTGGGCTGCTTAATGCAATTAGTTTCTCACAAAATGCGACCAGCCAGACTGTTGCATTCTGCACTTGAACAACAGCTTTTCTCACTCAGGTGAACTTGATTTGCTTGTATTGCACTCTTAAATAATCCTCAAGCGTAATTCCTTACATGATCTGATTATAACCCTGGTGCACTTTTTTGGACGCGTCGTGGTAATAATTTGCACTGCAGTATGTAACTTCATCCTCTAGCTTTGTTTGTTTATCACGAAAGTATCATCATCATCATTGTGATTATGTCCAAAACCACCAAAGACCAAGGCGCACGGCAGTGTATGTGATTTGTGCATCGCTTTTTATTCGAAAATGGCTGATCTTTCTTTAATGTCGTGGAATAAAGTAATCTAACGCTCGTTATGCTTCATTATCATCAAGCGGAATGATGTATCAGAATCAAACTCATAAAAACTATGTGCGTACTTAAAATCTCGGTAGGCACATTGTTTCTCTGCTCTATAAGAGATATCAATGATCCAAGAACCAACCTTTTTGGAAAGATTTTCCCGTCATCATCAACATTTGTTTATTGTTTGTTCGCCTTATCCGAGCAGGCAGCATGGGACCAGTATAAAATCAGAGATTGAGGATAATGATAATGATCCTAAACATGTACTGAACAACCCAGATTGACAAAGGCATACGGATGGATGGTAAATAAAAAATCAAATCTGGTTTTAATGCTTAGTTTACGTAAAACAAATTTCTTTGGTCAAAATCTTAAAGTAATCTCCGTAAAATCACATGAGTTCCGCCTCCTTTTCTCCAAGGAATTTATTCCCTGCCTGGAGTACTTTGTTTAATGTGGTGGGGAAGTAGTGAGAACATGAAATCTTTGGCATGCGATGAGTGAGATTAGATAAGGAATTGTTGAACCTTCCTTAAGGGCTCATTATCATCATCATCATGCCTAAAACTTACGTACAGGATTATGTAAAAAGTGGTGAGATATTAGCCGGTTGATAAACGATCCTCATCTCTCCACCGATATGAGAAATGAGTCATGCATGCTCTCCCAAGATTTGGAGAGAAACAAAGAAAATTCCATATTTTGATTCATTAGTATGCAAGTTTGTTTGGGGCGTGAGTTGAAACATTTTTCAATTTTGGAGAGAATAGGGAATACTTTCGTAATGCATTTTACGAACATATGTAAATATGTGCATGCCAAGTGCAAGCTGATTGTGTAACGAAATGTAAAATAAAAATATACGGCATGAAATGCTCTGTGAATTGGGATGCTTTAAACTCACTGCTGAAAGTGCATCCGAAATATTTTTGCAGACGACGACAATGACAAAGGCAGCTCAGAACTCAGAGAAGACGACAAAAATGTCATTCCGCAACAACAAGGTTTTGTAATAGATGACCACGACTGCGTTCTGCATATTGCATGAGGACCTCGAGAGAGAGAATATGAAACGAGGAAAAATGTGATGGCGATATACAAAGGACAGGAACCACTTTGACTTTTTATGGTTCATTCAGGAACTTCACTACCCGTCGGTAGTCGTAGAGGCAAGAAGTTCCACCACTATTTTTTGTCGCCTACTGCCGCCTCCCCGCATATTGAGTGACTTTATAATAATGTATTCCAGAAATGGAAGTAAAGCACTTCATTCTCGTTTATAAATCGGGGTAAAAACCATCTAAAAAAATTGGAGCAAATATTTTACCAAATCTTTTAGCCGAGTAACTTTTAAACCTCGACGACGACCAACCAGTGGCAGAAAAAGCTTGAAGATCGACAGTTTTCCATTGCAATGAGATTTTGGTTCATTCATTGAATTGCATTTTCCACTGGATTTCATTCTCATTCAAAACATTGACTGGATTCTGGAGATTTCCTTTTGAGCCACAAGACCATCCTTCTTGACTCGCATCTTCATCTCTGGTTGGAGAAGAATCAAGTACTTTGACTTTACTACTGCAGGTTTCGTAGTAGCAAAGCAAAACCACATCACAACGGACAGAGACTTGCAGCAGAAGAGCTCGTTTAAGATTTCTTGGGTGAATTGAAACTAAGGTTGTTCCGAGAGTATGAAGAGGACTTTGGATATAAGTCCGTCTTAAGACGAGGAGTGGTTTACACTCCGGCTTGATGGTATATATTCGCATGTGTGTACGTATTATCTCTGAGACTGCGAGAATTCCCTAGGATGACTTTATCTGCTTCCTCTCATCTAAATCTGCTCCTGGTATAAAGAAGCTGAAACATTTTAGAATGGGAGAAATGGACTTAAAACCATGAGGATGTAAGTAACACACTCACCCGAGTGTCTCGATAAGTCGTAAAAACAAACGGCTTATCAATATCAATGCAGCGCATTATACAGCAGTTTTATCTTCAAGAGAACAGTTGACAGGTCTCAAACACTTCTGGGAAGAGGAAGGAAACGTATATATGGAGTGAGGACGACTCAATGAGAAGATAGTTATGGACATGGAATGTCCTTCGATTTGAATAATGTCATACTTGTGACATGACACATTTAAGGAGTACAGTAGTTCAAGTTCTCAAGAAGCAGAAGATTCTCACAGTATGTACATCTGTATTGTGGTATGTTTGCTTAGGTCATGTTGCACAAGATGATTACATTCCGTGAATTTTGTGCCTGCATTCTTCATGTGTACATCAGATGAAGAAATAAATGGAGCACACATTTGTATATAATCCTCCAATTCGCTTGTCGCATTTATGTACGCATCTTGTATAACAAGAAGGATATTCGCTAATACAAAATTACGAGAACATTTGATAATTATGGGACACAATGGGCCGCACAATAACAAAGTACAATCTAATTTGTCCTACTTCCACTGTTATAAATGTCCCCACAGATTACGGTCAAAGAAATCAGTGACCAAACACATAC